AAATGCTTACAATTATTGTAAAATTAATATATGTCTGATATTTGACAAAATCTTTATGAATTATTTTAAGAACTAATTTATTAACAATAAATAAAATAAAGTAAATAAAATCGAAATTTTTTACATCATTATGTAGAATTTGTGAAAAAACTAATTCAACGGTATTTTTTTATGTGATAATATTGGTCAAGTGATCGGCAAAATGATCGGCAATATCGTGATAATATGGGGATGTCCGCCCTGTTCCCCTAGACGCAGTTCCTTCTCACTACTCCGCATTACTATCTAAATTTTCGCGAGTTATTCTATCTATCCATAAACCAATATCATCTAATGTGCTAATGTAACCATCTTTCTTCGTGATATTTCTCTCATAAAACCCTTGAACCGTATTCTTATTAATTTTCCCTCCAAATTTGCACTAGACGATTTAATAATTAACCCATGAAATATTTCTTCCTTCCACCTACGTTCACCCCTACATTGTAACACTGATAATTTTTGGCTTTTTTTGCTATACTAAAATGTCCGTCTATCCGTCCGGCACGTGACTATGTACAATACACTTCGGACTTAATAATAATTACTCATATTGATTACGCAAAATAAATTACTCATCTTATGATCCTGATGTGGTATTGTCATGACTCATGAGTATATAATTAAATAATATAAATATATCAGTTTTCTTTATCTTTTTTTTCTTTGTCTTCTTTATTTTCTTTTTTTTAGGTCTGTCTTGGGTTTTCTCGGTCTTTTTTTCTTTTTTTATTCTTAGGCTCCTTTTCTTTACGTCTTCCTTTAGGTATGTGGGTTGTTGTAGGTTTGTGTGTGGGTTTGTGTGTGGGTGGTGTGTATTTCGTTGCTCTTTCCTCCTCCCCTCTCGCTTTACTTTTCCCTCTCGTTTTCCTTTTCCCTATCCCCTATCGTTTTTCCTTTTCCCCTATCGTTTTCCTTTTTCCCCTATCGTTTTCCCCTTTCCCTCTCGTTTTCCTTTTCCCTTTCGTTTCCCCTTCCCTATCGTTTTTCCTTTTCCCCTATCGTTTTCCTTTTTCCCCTATCATTTTCCTCTTTCCCTATCGTTTTCCCTTTTCCCCTATCGTTTTCCCCTTTCCCTATCGTTTTCCCTTTTCCCCTTTCGTTTTCCCTTTTCCCTGCCCTTTCGTTTCCCCTTCCCTATCGTTTCCCCTTCCCTATCGTTTTCCCTTTTCCCCTATCGTTTTCCCTTTCCCCTATCGTTTTCCCCTTTCCCTTCCCTTCGTTTCCCCTTTCCCTATCGTTTTCCCTTTCCCCTATCGTTTTCCCTTTTCCCCTTTCGTTTTACCTTTTCCCTGCCCTTTCGTTTCCCCTTCTCTATCGTTTTCCCCTTTCCCTTTCGTTTTCCCCTTTCCCTATCGTTTTCCCCTTTCCCTATCGTTTTCCCTTTCCCCTATCGTTTTCCCTTTTCCCTTTCGTTTTCCCTTTTCCCTGCCCTTTCGTTTCCCCTTCCCTATCGTTTTCCCCTTTCCCTTTCGTTTTCCCCTTTCCCTATCGTTTTCCCTTTTCCCTTTCGTTTTCCCTTTTCCCTGCCCTTTCGTTTCCCCTTCCCTATCGTTTTCCTTTTTCCCCTATCGTTTTCCTCTTTCCCTATCGTTTTCCCCCTTCCCCCTATCGTTTTCCCCTTTCCCCTATCGTTTTCCTTTTCCCCTATCGTTTTCCCTTTTCCCCTATCGTTTTCCCTTTTCCCCTTCCCTTTCGTTTTCCCCTTCCCCCCCCTGATCAATGTTGCTGCACCTCAACGTGGTGATCAGGTGACAACAAGTTTTTTTAAAAGACTTGGCTAAGTCAGCAACAATGCAAAGATTTTCTATAATAATATTCTTAGGATTAGCACGTTGAAGAAATTTTTTAATATTCAAACAATGATTTTCTGCTGTAATAAAAAAGATAAAGTGTAAGTTGATTAACATTATTACTATGATTGATTTTGTTTTTATCTCATAAATTTACATGTTTTTAATTTGTTGAATATGTATGGTTAAGTCAAAATGATGGAACAAAATTCCGAACTCATAATTTATTAGAAATTTACGTATACAAACTTATAAAGACAAATTTTTTCACTAGTAGAGGCATATAAAAAAATCTTAAAGCATGTGAAAAAAACTAATATTATAAAATAAATAAATTTTTTTGTATATAATTAAAAATTAAAGAGCATAAAATTTTAAATGAGCGATATGAACCATTAATTAATAAAGGAATAAATGGAAGTATATAAGAAGAGAAACCTAAGGTACAACTTAAATATCTTGCTTTACATGCAATTTTAATATTATCTGGTAAATAATGATCAAAATCACAATTAAAAGGGATTTGACCGAGATATGAATATGTAATCACGAATCTACATCCAACTATTAAAATAAAATGTTATTAATAAAGATCAATTTTAAGGTAAAATTATTATTTTAAATTAAAACTTACCCATTAATATCACAAACTGGGTATATAAATAAGAGCTGGTTTACAAGAAAATTATCAGATTATTTAACAAGTTAAATAAATATGATAATAGAAAAATTCAATTATACTTACGCAATATATATCCCGAAACTTTCATCATCATCATTCATATATTGTATTGCTAAAAAAAAAAAAATGCAGTTAGTATTCAATTTGTCTAAAATTAATTCAAAATTAATTACTTACTAAATATTATTAATAATAAATTTCCAATAAAATAACTATAAAAAAAATTACATCAATTATATATTAATTATATTAATTACATTAGAATATTAAATTCATTAAATTAAAAATAAATAATATATAAAATTATTTATTTACAAGAAATTTGTATAAATCATGGTAAAGATTTCTCGATGTACACCGTAATCATTATAATCTCCAATGTCAAATAAAGTTTTCAGATGCCAAATTTCTATATTTTTTAACAAAATAAATATTTATTAAAGGGTCGTATTAAACAAAATTATTTAAAAATTATTAAAAATGTATCAATACATATAATATATATACCTGCACCAATACATGTAATAAAATAAAGAATAAAAACAATCTTAGAAATAATAATGGAAATTTTCATTTTTTTAAAAATTTTTAATTTTTTTAATTTTTTTAAAATTTTTTTTTTTTTAAAAAAAAAATGGTCTCAACTATTATTTTACAAGAATATTGTGTTAATTTATATAAGATTTTTTGTTTTTTTTTAATAAAAAAAAAAATTGAAATATAAAATAAATTTTAATTCGTAATATTTTACCGTTTATATGATAATAAAGAATGAGAAAATATTAAAGTTTTTCCTTATGGTTATTGAAAAAAAAATAATATTTGTTTTTTTCCACGCAATGTTTTCTTTACAGCTTAATCTATAATGTCTTATTTTAGAATAATGCGATATATTTTCTCGAATCACGTGAAAAATACATGTTTGTTCTTTTTTTCTTTTTTTAACATTCTATAAAGAAATTGCTTGATGATATAAAAGTCAAAAAATATAAAGTTATTAATGATCGTCTTTATCGCTTAACAAAATAGATAATTCTTTTTGCTTTTAGAGAATTCTATCGAAATAACAATAATATGAAATTTAATTTCTAATTTGGGAAATAAACAAAGAATAATAAGATTTCTGATCGAAAATGTCATAAAATGTAAATACCGGTTTCATTTTTTTAACTTATAAATATAAATAATAATAATTTAATTTAGTCCTTGTACTAATTTTGATAATTAATGAAACCATTTAAGTGCAAACAATGACAAGCAAATGATCGTATGTCCGGACAAACTTCGGATTTTCCGAAGATTCGAACAATTAGATAAATGTTGGAACTCAATTATAAACAAGATTTGTTTAAATTTATTTCTTCAATTTGATCGATTTTTTTTTTTATAATCGAATATCAAACCAATAATTTAATATTTTTGAACTCTAATGCAGCCGGAAGTAGTGTTGACCTGAACTAGAAATTTTACGATCAGCAAGACTCATTTGCTATTTATAGTTTTCGTTTTATTATTATTTATTTATAAACAGTTGTACAAAAAACTTTCGTACGACATATATCCTTGTCTATAAACTTAGGCTTATACATACAATAATATACCTATTATGGGACTAACATTTTGCTAAGTGTAACTAAACTAAGAAAAAACACTCTTTCGACATAAAAATAAATATAAAAACTTTTTTTAGATATTTAGTTTAGATCTAATAAGTATTGATACTTTCATCTTAGACGGGTTAGTAGATAGAATAACATAGTCATTTTTTTATTTTTTTTTTATAAATTTCATTAAAAAAATAAAAGAAATGCGCGTTACAAACAAACATATATATATATATATGTAAAAACTTTTAATCACAACAAAACATTAATACATTTATTAAAAAATAAACTATTGTGAAAAGTATGTGCTATTCCCCTAAGGAAATCTATAGTAGTTTTTTTGTATTTTATTAAATCTAACAAGGAAATACGTGCTACTAAAAATTCTATTTCATATAAATATATACGTAAAAATATTTAAAACTTTTATATTTAATTTTATATATATATCGGTAAAACGTTTGTCGGTGAATAACCTGTCGGTGAGTTAAACGCGACCCAATCCGACCCATCGCCCCTCCGAATCTCTAAGTACAGTCAAACCTCCAAAATTAGTATTACATAAAAAAATTTTTTTATTACTATCCCTTTTATTTATTTTTTAAAAAAATAATTTCCTCTCCAGTTAAAATTAGAAATTTTCTATAATCCTGAAATTCCTCAAATATCAAGAAAAGAATATCCTTGTTAAGTTTGGATATTCTTTTTCGAAAAATAATCTTATAATTCCTCAAATATCAAGAAAAGGATATCTTTATTAAGTTTGGCCATTTTTCTTCATCACATGTCTAAGTTTCTTCAGAATAATCTTTAATTCCTCAAATATCAAGAAAAGAATATCTTTGTTAAGTTTGGGATATTCTTTTTCGGAAAATAATGTAATTCTTCAAATATCAAGAAAAGGATATCTTTATTAAGTTTTGGATATCCTTTTCCGAAAAAAAAAAAATAAACGATCACATGTCTGAGTTTCTTCAGAATAAAAACTAGAAAAATGATAGTTTTTTCCAGAATTTTTTTTATAGGGAGTTAAGTGTGTAAATTTTGTTTTTTCATTTAGAAAAAGATGAATGATTTCATTGAAAATAATCATTCTTGAAAGCCTTTTTAATAGGATGACTATTCAAGATTAAATTAATAACGAATTTTATGGTTGAAAAGTGCGTTCAAATGATGTTTATATACTTTTTACAGTCTATAACTAGGAAACGGAAACAGAACCGGAAACGGGATATTGCTTAGATTGTTTTGTTTTGCCACATACCGGACTGGACGGACAGCAATAGAAAGCCATAAAAGCCACAAGGATTAAGATATTATTGGTGGTATGTAAATCACGCAATATCAGGTATTAAATTAAATATAAACTGATACTATCCGAGTCTGAGCCACTTCAGGCTATGTAATCATAAAACACGGCTTGGTAGTCAATATAACGATAATCACCATCGTACATTCAATAAAATATGCAAGATATTAGGTTACAAAGATGATACAATAATCTCTTTATTCATACCTTTTAATTAATAAAACTCAAAAACATCATTGGATATACTACGGGATTAATTAGTTGTATTTTAAATTGGTCAAGTTATATTAAGTCAGTTCTAAATCAATTAAGTTAACCCGATAAAAATTCGACACATTCATCACATTCATGCTGCACAGCCTAATTTTGCTGATCGCAAGTGCTGTGGCCATGTTTCTATTTGCTTGTCGCAAGTGCAGTAATATCGGTGGCTATGCTGCAAGATTTCCTGTTCGATATCACGCATGCGCCTGCGGTCGGATTTTACGGTCAACTACGCAAGTATCATAATGCAGTAAGCCACAAAAAAATCTAGCCGTAAGTGTTGCTACTTTTTTGTAATTATTAATCTTTAATATTTCTCTGGGAATTTTATTCTTCAATGTTGACTATAACGATCGATGGAAAAATTACCAACAATGTAAATAAAGCATTTAAAATTAGTAGCAGTTTGTAAATTAATTAATTGGCTGTTTGCAAAATTTTGAAGATGTGAACTAATAATTAAATTTGAACTAGAGTTTACATGATTTTTAAGAAAGATGATTGATCGTTATTATAAAAAGTATTTTAATTGTGCAAAATGAATTTTCAACTAAAAATTTTTGATTAAATTTTTTTGTGGCTTGCTGCATTAATCAGCGGATTTTCGGCATAAGCCACGAATTTACTGGGCTTNTAAACGATCACATGTCTGAGTTTCTTCAGAATAAAAACTAGAAAAATGATAGTTTTTTCCAGAATTTTTTTTATAGGGAGTTAAGTGTGTAAATTTTGTTTTTTCATTTAGAAAAAGATGAATGATTTCATTGAAAATAATCATTCTTGAAAGCCTTTTTAATAGGATGACTATTCAAGATTAAATTAATAACGAATTTTATGGTTGAAAAGTGCGTTCAAATGATGTTTATATACTTTTTACAGTCTATAACTAGGAAACGGAAACAGAACCGGAAACGGGATATTGCTTAGATTGTTTTGTTTTGCCACATACCGGACTGGACGGACAGCAATAGAAAGCCATAAAAGCCACAAGGATTAAGATATTATTGGTGGTATGTAAATCACGCAATATCAGGTATTAAATTAAATATAAACTGATACTATCCGAGTCTGAGCCACTTCAGGCTATGTAATCATAAAACACGGCTTGGTAGTCAATATAACGATAATCACCATCGTACATTCAATAAAATATGCAAGATATTAGGTTACAAAGATGATACAATAATCTCTTTATTCATACCTTTTAATTAATAAAACTCAAAAACATCATTGGATATACTACGGGATTAATTAGTTGTATTTTAAATTGGTCAAGTTATATTAAGTCAGTTCTAAATCAATTAAGTTAACCCGATAAAAATTCGACACATTCATCACATTCATGCTGCACAGCCTAATTTTGCTGATCGCAAGTGCTGTGGCCATGTTTCTATTTGCTTGTCGCAAGTGCAGTAATATCGGTGGCTATGCTGCAAGATTTCCTGTTCGATATCACGCATGCGCCTGCGGTCGGATTTTACGGTCAACTACGCAAGTATCATAATGCAGTAAGCCACAAAAAAATCTAGCCGTAAGTGTTGCTACTTTTTTGTAATTATTAATCTTTAATATTTCTCTGGGAATTTTATTCTTCAATGTTGACTATAACGATCGATGGAAAAATTACCAACAATGTAAATAAAGCATTTAAAATTAGTAGCAGTTTGTAAATTAATTAATTGGCTGTTTGCAAAATTTTGAAGATGTGAACTAATAATTAAATTTGAACTAGAGTTTACATGATTTTTAAGAAAGATGATTGATCGTTATTATAAAAAGTATTTTAATTGTGCAAAATGAATTTTCAACTAAAAATTTTTGATTAAATTTTTTTGTGGCTTGCTGCATTAATCAGCGGATTTTCGGCATAAGCCACGAATTTACTGGGCTTTGTGGTCAATTTTTGCGGAAAATTACGGCACTTACGTAAAGAGTACGGAACCGGTTGTAAAAAAAGGTTTAAAACCGGTTTCTTAATTGAGGCTGGCTTAATATGCCGATCACCCGAATTTTTGCGATCGGTTCCGAACTCTGAAAATCTTGATGAATATATTTTTTTTGATGAATTTCTTTAAGATCACAAATAATATTATCCAATACAGATAATTTATCTTGCCAATTGAAATGTTCATAATTTTTATTTATCCAATTATTAAAATTTCCTTTTTTTGTATATTTGAAAACTATAATATATTCCTTTGTATTTGGATTTAATTAATTTATATGATATTGGTATTTCGGATGTTATTGTAAAAATATATTTTAATTGTGCAAAATGAATTTTCAACTAAAATTTTTGATTAAATTTTTTTTGTGGCTTGCTGCATTAATCAGCGGATCTTCAGCATAAGCCACGAATTACTGGGCTTGCGGTCAATTTTTGCGGAAAATTGCGGCACTTACGTAAAGAGTTCGGAACCGGTTGTAAAAAAAGGGTTAAAACCGGTTCACTTAATTGAGGCTGGCTTAATAGAATTAATTAATCAGTTTTAATATGTTAATATGCCGATCACCAGAATTTTTGCTACCGATTCCGAACTCTACTTATTTTATTATTTATCATAATTATTTTATATGATATTGGTATTTCAGAAGTCTTTTGAAAGTGTATTGGATGGAAGCGGTGGGAGGTCGGCTTTTTTGAGGATTAGTTTTGTTTCTTTCTTTTAATTTTTTCTCTCGTATTTATTTGTGCATAAGTCTATTCTAATTTGACGATCACACTAAGGCACGTGATTAGTAACGCGTCGAACGTTCGGCAATATTTTTTAGATAAACTTAATTCACATATGTATAATTATATGAATGATAATCTTTGTTATTATATTATTAAATATATATTTTTTCATTGTTTTCGAAATTTTTTTTTTAAATATAAAAATTGATGCAATGTAATATCATTTATTTTTTGAATTTTTTAGCTGATAATTTTGTTTAATCCAGACTCGACATGAGTCATATTAGTTATTTATTAATGTCACTATTATATTAATCATATGGATCATGCAGAGTTCGTCACGATAATCTAAAAAAATTATTACGACTGTTACGTATTACGACTATTACGTATCAATATTTTTTGACTCAATGTATTGAGACTAGTGCTTCGATCCGTTTCTGTCTCATCCGGATGAATCCGGATGAATCCGGATTTTTTTTTTATCCGGATATCCAGATTTTGACCCGGATTTTGATCCGGATGGAAAATATCCGGTTTGAACCAGAATCCGGATGAGTTTTCATATATATTTACTATATTCACGCAATATATCGCCATCCAGTAATCGTAGAAAGATGATTAATGGCTCATTGGAATCGTCGCATCAAGAGCTTTCGAATGATACTAAAATGAGCTTTCTAGCTTCGATAGATGATGAGATAATTTTAAAATATTTACATGAATAACTCGCCATCTATTGATGCTAGAAAGGTTATTTTGGTACCATTCGAAAGCTCTCTATGAGTGGATTCTAATGATCCATTAATCATTTTTTTACGATCACTGGATAGCGAGTTATTGCGCGAAAACAGTTCTGACTAATTAGAAAAGAACTGTAAAATAGTTTTTTTTTAAATGTAAAATATATTTAAATGTTCTTTATTTTATTAACTTTAAAAATGTAAAGAATACACCTTTTTCAATTCAAATATGAAGATAAAAAAAAATTTAAAAAAATAAAAATTTTTGCTAAATTGTTAGAGTATTTGAAAAAAAAATACAAAATAAAAAAATTAATTATTTACTATTCTTCTCCATAAAGTTTATTAAAAAAGCCCAGATTCTTATTAAATAAAAGCCATAAAGTTCATAAAAAAAGCCCAGATTCTTATTAAATAAAAGCCATAATGTTTATTTAACAAAGCCACATACTGTATTTTATTAAAACCTTGACGAGGTATCTCTCTCGTATAAAAAGAGTTTGTTTTGCAGTTTTATTAGTAAAAACGCCCATTTCCTGACGATGTCTAGGTTTTACATCTGGTCGTCACGCGTAACGAGGTATCTCTCTCGTACAAAAGGAGTTTGTTTTGCAGTTTTATTAGTAAAAACGCCCATTTCCTGACGATGTCTAGGTTTTACATTATTACAGTAATACATAAAGTTTAATTAAGTTGTAAAAGTTACAAAGTATAACTATAAATTCTAAAAATTAAATTGATATTAATATTAATTTAATCCAAATTTCATAAAATATTTGTTAAATTTTTTTGATAATAAATATGTTGAAATGCTATTCGATGTTTATTATATGGATCATCAACTAGTCCGCAGTCAAAAAAAATTTTATATGTACACAGTGAAATTCGATAAACCGGATATTCGATAAACCGGATTTGGGCCTAAACCGGACTTTTTTACTGGAACCAAATCACGTATATTAAAATAAGCTCGATATACCAGAGTTTACTAGTAAAAGCTCGATATTCGCTATAACGGATCAATTTTCTAACCAGCTATAGTAAAAATGATTCGATAAACCAGATCACGTGACTGGGAACCAATAAAATTTAAGTAACGTGATGCGGTAAATCTTAAATTTGGCCGGAATTATAAAAATCTTAATTCCGGCTGAAGTTAAGTATTACTTATATATTCAATTAAAATATTTTATATTCATTTTCATGACCTCTATAACTTAAAACTAGATGAAAAAAATCAAATTATAGTGTATATTAGTTTTATTAGCATGAAAATTTTTTAAAAATTCAATATAATAGATTTTCAATATATCGAAATTTTTTCGCTAAACCGGATATCCCGATAAACCGGATATTTTTAGTGGAACCGATAGATCCGGTTTATCGAATTTCACTGTGTAAATCCAATCCGGATTCCGGTTTCCATCCGGATTATCTGACCCAGATATTAATTCGGATCAATCCAGATAGAATCTGGATTTTTTTTTTGTGTAATCCGGATAACGGTTTTCATCCGGATCGAAGCACTAATTGAGACTAGACAATATTAAACCAATAACTGTATCTTTAATATATATTTTAACCTTATCGATCAACATGCTGAGTTCAAAATTATACTCGCGTTACATAATCTTTTCCCCTAAAGTATCTTATTTGAATATGAAATCAAAAAAAAAAGATTATTTGTTAGAATATTTTCAGACTCATCACATGATGAGAAATAATATAAAAAGAGTGAAATTTTCCCTCAGTTCGTTTATAATACTTCCGATCTAATTTATAATCTTCCACTTTTTTCACAAAAAATGAATGCCAAAAAAAAAATAGATTTGTGAAAATAACCATTACCTATTTAAGGTAAGCATGCGCTCCCTGCTCTTAGCCATAGTTTTAATGAAACATGCTTAACAGAATAAAAAAAGTCGATTTTACCTGTTTGGTGGTGTCGTAAACCACCAGTGGTATCCCGAAGGACCATGACAGTAGGGACCACTTGGGTAACATGGTACCTTCTATTTCCCAGAGGCTTTTTTTTATGGAGTATGGTGGTGTTTTTTACCAACCATACTAACGTTGTTTTTTTTCTTTGTTTTTTAGATAAAGAGATATCACATCAAACATTCTGTAAGGCTATACAAACAATAAATACTGATCAAAAAGCTTCTTCGGATCTTCACAACTTTACACAAAAGCTTTTAAATAATTGTAAGAAGGCGAGATTATAATTTAAGGTAATGATGGTTTTTTTTCCAATAATAGTATGGTACCACGAACTTTGATGTTTTCCCTACTGCTAGTAACTTTATCTAAAAAATCATAATATATTTCCATTATGTAAATCTTTGATGAATTAATTATTCTTTTTCCGTGAATTCTTTTGCAATACTCTCAAAAATAACGATTTTATGTCTTAAACTCAGATAATAAGAATATCTAGCCTCTTATTATCTAAATAATTTCGTAAACTTCTCTCTTTAGCACATCTGATATGGCATGACTATAACAAAATTTTTAGTAGATGGATGATGGATCTTGGCTTATTCCATAACATCTAATAAATTCACTTGATGGTTTATGTATATATAACAAGAATATTTAAATTTCATAAACATTTAACAAAATATTTATTCAAATTATTCATAATTTATAATTTCCAGTAATGTGAAGCATATTAACAAAATTAAAATTAATGGATAAGTTTAAGACTGAAGGAACCTGAAAACAAAGCAAATAACTTAAAGATATGATCATGATTCTTTTCATATTACTTTACTTCAGATTAAAGCAAAGGATCCATATATTTACTCATAATCCGTCCTCTCCTATAACACAAATCATAGGATCTTTTAATAATTGGGATAGAAGTCACATCTTACGCCTAAAAATGGAAAAAATTGTATTATATTCATATTTACTAGACGGACCAAAATTGACTTATTTTAAGAATGTGAAATTGTAACATTTTAATATTTAAATTGCGACAGTTAATACTTTAATACGGTAATTAATATTATTGGAATTTAAAAATAAAACTTCTACATAAAAATTGTAAGGATGCCAGTTGACAGAAACATATAAATATTTTTTATATTGTTAGTATAGGTACTATATGATCATTTGTTAGAACTCACTAAATTATGATCCCATTAATACATCTTAGTAAAATATGAATGCAATAGCTAAAATTTATTCTATTATGAAAATTTATAAAGAATAAACTAAGATATCAAATAAATTTCTTAATGGTGACCGCATTATAAAATTTTATAATTTTTATGTGAAAGAAAATTGATTTCATCACCACATATATCCTATTCTTATAACTCCACAAGCTTCATGCGATCATGATGATCGACAATCAAAAATTCGGCGACATTTGTGTGTTATTATTAATAATCATGAAATTATTAAAATTAAGCAAATACCAAATTTTAAATTTATATACGAATAAATCAATTTACGTGAAACGCTGCTTTTAAGACAATTCTTTGTTGCTTGACACCTGATGTCCTGATCACTGACAATGAGATCCTGCCTGCAAAAGAAAAAAAAATAAATGTGTTATTAAAGAAATACAACAACAAAAAGATATTATCATAATTATTCTGCTTGTTCATTGTGGAATAATAATTATCTCATCTCCTAAAACTTAATATTATCTAAAAGTACTTGGATATTATAAGATTACTATTACGTTTATGAAGCAATAATGTCGTTACTGCTCTTAATAAAGGAAATGAATAATTTCTAATCTAAGATACTGGGTTTCATTTATTAATAAAAAAGATCACAAAAACCTTTTGTAGTAGATTTTCTTTAAGAATTATACATGTAAATAAAAATAGACAAATCTTGATATGAAAAAAAAAATTATTCGGAGATATATGGAAGATCTTTCCATATATATTTGAAATTACGTAATAATACATAATTAGTTGTACATGTACAACATATCACAAACAAAAACGTCATAAAAGTAACTTTAAATATTTATTTGCACAACTTTTTACTCTTTTGTCAAATAATAATGATAAAATGTCCAAATTAAACAGAGATGTTCTTTATTTAATATTTAAAGAGTTGCATAATGATAAATATACTCTTCATTCTTGCCTTTTAGTTAATAAAACTTGGTGTGAGGTTGCTATTCCAATTCTGTGGAGAAATCCTTGGAAATATTTAAATTATTCAAAAGGAAAATTTTTACTAGATGTAATAATTTCACATTTATCAGATGAATCAATGAAGAATATAAAGAGCCAAGGCATTGATTTTACAATTAATTCATACAAAAAGCCATCATTTAATTATATTAATTTTTTTAAGCATTTAAATTTAAATGCAATCAAAGAGTTAGTTAAGCGTTCTGAAATGTTGATTATTTATAATGAAATTATTCGTCTTTTTATTAATGTAAATACAAAATTTACACACCTTTATATACCCCAAAAATTTGATTATCAATTACATCTAATTCCTGAAGCTAAGCATTGCTTTTCAAATATTGAATTCATTAGATGTTATACGAATATAAATGATAGTGGTTTAGCTGGATTGATAGAAATTTGTAAATCAGTTAAAGAATTGGAACTAATTATTAATAAGAATGATAACAATTATGGAGTCACTAGATTAATTGAAACTCAAAAATCCTTATTTAATGTTCATTATATAATCTTCCGTTCTACAGATAATGTATCATTTCATACAGCTCTTGAAACATCGTTGATTAAACATGCAAATACCATACAACATTTTAAGATAACTAACCAACCTGGCACATATTTTTTATCATGTTTTATTAATTTAAAAAGTTTAGAATTAGATGGTTATTTCGGTGTAACATGGTATTGCTTAAAAAATTTATCTTTGCCTTTTTTACAAATTTTAAAGGTTAATAATGATTATCCAGTAATATTTTTGGAAGGTATTATTGAAAGTACAAGTGGATATCTTTCAGAAATAGCTATTAATAGAATAAGTTATGATGATCCTAATAGTAAAATATTAGTACAGACTATTTACACAAAATGTCCAAAACTTAAATATCTTAAGTTAGAATTTAAAAATAATAATATTTTAGAATTAGAAAAATTATTAATTAATTGTCAATATTTAGATGGATTGTTTATTATTGGAATTTTTGGTTTTGATTGGTATAGATGTTTTGAAATATTAACAAGATCTTCACCAATTAATTTGTTCAAGTTTAAATTTAATTATTCAACTCACATTGGATGCTTAAAACTATTTTTTGATGATTGGAAAGTTAAATGTCCTGATCGTCCTATGAAATTACAGCTTATAGATGAGAAACGTCGACCTATTAGTGAAGAAAATAAAAATTTAATAGAAACTTACAAAGCAGAAGGGATAATTAAAAAATTTTCTAATCATTTGTATAATGAAGATTTTGAATGGCTGTGAATTAAATTTATGTGTTTGATATATTAAATATCACAAAATACAAAGTTTTTTTGAATTGGTTTTTTTATGTAATTGTTATAGATTTTTTCGGTTATTATATTTATTGTTTTATGTAGGGATGCCAAAAGTTCAGTTACAACTGATTATTACCGGTTCAGTTATCGGTTCTGTTTCAGTCCAGTCCAAGGCTGACAGGTTAACCGTTGGTTCTATATATATAAAAACCCGATAAAAAGCTGATACATGTTTTATGTTTAATATATTCAAAAATTTTTTGATTTTTATAGTTCAATCACTTTACGCGTTGATCATGTGATTTTCGCATCGCCAGAAAATTCAGATAATCGGTATTATTATTACGAAGAAAAATTATGTAAACTTAAAAGACATGATAAATAAAATAATCTTTGACATTATCTTTATTCAGTTTTGTGATCGGTTTTGCGGTTCAGTTTTGTCGGTCGGTTTTGTGGTTGGTTCAGTTTTTGTTGTAAACCACAATTTTAAAACCGAAACTGAATGTTGGCATCCCTAGTTTTATGCTTTTTAATGGATTATTATTACAGCAGTAACATCTTCGCTTTCCACTTTTAATAGTTATTTGGAAACTTATTTTATAATTAACAATTAAAAAAAAGATATCCGACAGAATCTTCAAAATTTCTCTATCCGGTATATTTGAAAATATGTTTAATGATTCATTAATTATACCAATTCATCCTTTATAAGACTATAAAGAGTATATACATGATGTAGCAATCACATAAAGTGAATTCATTAGATCATTTAGATGTAATGCGAGTATAAGTGCCAGATTGTGATTTAGCCGAATTTATAGATCAATCAAAGAATTGGAATATATAATTATTAGTCCAATAATAAATGTTAATATAAGTATTGGAGAAGGATGCGTATGGATGGGATATATTTGGTGTAAATATTGTAATGAAATGATAGAATATAAAATTTTAGAAACTAAATCACATCTTGAAATGGTAGGGTGCCCTATAAAAAAAAAATTCTTTAAAATGTACTTAAAATATACTTATGTATTTTTTTAAAATATACTTAAAATATACTTATATATTTTAAAATATACCTAAAATATACTTAACATTTTAAAATATACTTAAAATATACTTAAAATTGCAATTTTAAGTATATTTAAAGTATAAAATTTTGCACTTAAATTATACTTAAATTATATTTAAATTGCAATTAAGTATATTTTAAATGTAATTTAAGTATAAAATTTTATACTTTAAATATACTTAAAATTGCAATTTTAAGTATATTATAAGTACATTTAAAAAATTTTAAGTACATTTTAGATATATTTTAAAATATATAAGTACATTTTAAGTATATTTTAAAGAAATTTTTTTTCATAGGGGTGGTCGTACAATGGTATAATCCTTATTTTCCAAACTTCAATTCTCTGAAATCCTATTTCCCGAATCCCAGAAATCTGAATCCTAATATCCTGAATGAGCAATTTTCTGAAATCCCTATAAAAAAAAATTCTGGAAAAAATTCATCATTTTTCTAGTTTTTATTCCGAAGAAACTCAGACACGTGATCATTTTTCAGAAAAATTTTTTATAGGGAATATATATATAGTAATAAACTGTATTTTTTAAATTTTATTACATATTAGTTTATAAAATATTGCGTAATAATTCAATATATCTATTCAAAGAGATCAGATGAAGACGATATTATTAAAAAATTTTAAAAGTGCCATAACATTTATTGGAATTGAAGTTTTCTATTACTAGGCATTTGTTAATTTCGCAATATACATAGGAAAATTACTAACAATACACTATCTATAAGATATTCTAAAAGAGTATTGCTACTGGTAGAATTTTAGTCAGAATTAAAAATGTCATGAATATCTGCTAATGCTGGTGTCACGCGCGGTGATTTTTTGACATTTTTCACAAAATTTACTAATTTAAAATAATTTTTTATTTAGCAATTCAACAAATATTATTATTTAGCAAAAAGTTTAAAAATAGCAACTCATGTGGAATATTGGAATTCGGGATATTGTGGATTCGGGATTCGGGATTCAGGGAAATTGTATGTTTTAGGAATGGGTCCAGTTCGCCAATCAGGTAAATGATTTCGTGATTAATTAAAATAAATTGATCTTCAAAGCTTTTTTCTAAATATAATTTTTTTTTTTAAAAAAAAAAAATTCTTATTCGTTCATATTAATTATAAAAATTAAAAGGATTTTCAAAGCTTTTCTAAATATAATTCTTTTTTTTTAAAAAAAAAAAGTTCTTATTTGTTTATATTAAATTATAAAAATTAAAAGAATAAAAAAAGTAAATAAAAGAATTTGGAACATATAAGACAATCAATTACATCTGATGCCATTGTCCCCGAATACCTGAAGCTCCAATTTCCATAATTAATAAATGATTCCATTTTGGCTTGACAATATGGTACATAAAAGTGGTTGACTGCCAAAAAATTATTTGATTACAAAATTTAAAATAAAATAACATTAATTAGCAAAGAAATAATAAAGTCCATTCAATCGGATCTCAGAATACGCAAAGAAATAGAAATTTCGTTCGTTCGTACAAAAAGAAAAAAAAAATTTTTAAGGAATTTCCGTTTGATTTATTAAATTTTAATCCGATAAAGTTAAAAGAAATTTCTTATGGTTTCAAATTATTCCCAATCTTGGAATCGCACCATAAGGTTATAATTATTTTTTTATGACGAAAATGTTCGTTTTTAAGGTTTCCAATTTTCAAATGTACTTAATAACTACTACTTACTGCCTATTAATTTGCTGTCACTTTTTTTTCAATCTTTTGATTTTTCCGAGTCTTTTCCTTTATTAGCTAGTTAAATTTTTCTAATCGCTTATTAAATATTTATTAAATCTTATATATTTTAGTAAATATCCGATTAGTCTATCCCCGCTTTTTTTCAATGATCTTTATTAACCACGCAGTACATATATAGAAATATATTTTACGGAATCTATTAGAATGAATTTTATTGTTTTTAATTAAGAAAAAAAGTACATTTAAATTTTATAACGTTAGAATTTGAAAGAAATGGACAAATGGTGTTCATAATAGATATTCAATACGGTACGATTTTGAAAACCTGTACGGTACGATTGATCAATTTCCAAAAATTCCAAAGAATTCGTACCGTACCGTACTTGCCCTATATACCTATATATACTTAGCCAGTAAAGTATGGTACAGTTAATAAAATTTTTTTTCTTTTTTTTATGTGTGATATTCAAATAACCACTCCACTATATTATTATTATTTTTTTTACAACAAGCGTAAACGCATTTCTTTATTCAGTAAATGTGAAAAGAGAAAATAACCACTATATTAAATGGACATTGATGTCCTGATGCTCAAATATTAAATAAAATTGATGTCCAAATAACCGCATGTAAAATGGACATTGTCCAAATAATCACATGAATTAGATATTGGTGTCCAAATGATCAATTCTTATAACTGTAAAACTCCGTAAAAATGAGCCTTTCACGGATTCATTCACGGAAAATATAAATAATTTGATAAATTCCATGATATAAGCGGAAATATGAGCCTTTTACGGAAAAAAGATGGAGTATAAAAAACGGATCGACTTTTTTACGGGGAATATGATTAAATGTACCGTTATTTGGATACCAGCGTCCATTTAATTAACATTTAATGTCCATTTAATATAATGGTTATTTGGATAATTAGACGTCATATAAAAAAAAATCAACCGTACTGGCTCTATAATATAGTATATACTGTACGGTACGAAATTTTTGGAATTTGATCAACCGTACCGTACGGATTTGCAAATTTCGTTTAGTACCGAATAACCTTCAATGAATGAAAGATTATTAATAATGTTTGTTCTTTTTACGTTATTATAATGATTATCAAAAAGAAATTTCTGATATTCTGATTTCTTGTGTTAACCTTAAATAATTAATATAAATCCTGAAAAAATTTCTTTATCCGACGAAAAAAAAAACATTACTCAATAACATTCCTTTTGACGCAAATATATTCTAATATCATTATATCTATTATTTACATATAATACAAACATTTCGTAATTTTTTCTAATTTTTTCAATAAAAATGATCAAGTTCATTTTAAATTCGCTTTTACTCCTTTTCTTTTTTGGAATTGTTACCGCATCAAAAGATTTTGATGTTATTATGGGTAACAAAAATTTTAAAACAACAAAGTTACTTAGTGCTGTCTATAGTCAACAAGTTAGTGATTCTTCAGAAGGATATCATAAGGCAGAATTTAATTTAAAAACCAATTTACCATCATTTAATCCTGATCAAAGTGGTGTAGAAAGTGTTATTTGTAAAACAGAGGCAAATGGTAAAAGAAAAATTGCTTTCAGCTTAAAGGACAAAAAAGCGGTTAAGGATGTTAAGAAATGGCCTGAAAGAATTATGTTATTAATTTCTCATAAATGGAAATGTTTTGGTAAAAGGTCTACCCAATTTTTTACGGCTACTGATAGAGTTATAGATGAATCTAAATTAGTTGCAACTTTTGTTATTATGAATTGCGATTTTCCACACAATTCAGAAGATTACGATATCAATTTTAATTGGGTCGAAGGGAAACAAACAAAGAATAATACTCATCGCAGTCTAGAAGAAAGATTCGGTATTTCATTTCCAACAATTAATATTAGTAATAAAATAAGTTTAAATATCTTATTTGACTCAAAAAGTGATAAATCTTCAAAACCAGATATATCACTTATAAATAATAATGATATTAAATTGCTTTGCGCTAATTGTTTTACGAAAGGTGAAGCTACTCTTGCATTGAGAATTAGAGGTAAAATTTTTCCTCCTAAATTGAAAGAAGCTTCAATTACTCTTAGTGGAAATTTTTTCATGAACCTTGATTTTGCTCTTGAAGCTTCAAAAGAAATAAGTCCTGAAAGACGTAAAAAAGCATCTGAAAATTCTCCTATTATAAATTTTAAAACAGGTGATTTTAAGATACCAGGTTTATTAGAACTTGGCCCTGAAATTGATCTTGTTGCTGCAGCTGATGCTCTTGCGGATGCAAAAGCAACTCTTGGATTTGGTGGTAATTTTAGTTTACCAAATTTTAGTGCTAAGGCATCATTTAAAGGCCTACCAAATTTTGAGCAATCCGGGTTCGAACCTATAGTTAATGCACATATTCCAAGTGCTAGTGCCAAAGCTTTTGCTATTATTACTGCTACATTAAAAACACAATTAGGTTTTGGTGTAAAAATACTCAAAGGTCGAATTTTAAATAAGAAAATTGGTTTTGAATTGGCTGGATCTCTTGAAGATTCTTTTAGATTAGGTAGTTGTAAAAGAAAGGCTCATCCACATGTTAAATCTTCTCTTGGTGGTAATATAGGTTTTTTTGTAAATGATAAGGATTTTCCTATATTAAAATTTCCTACTCAATCTTTATTAGATAAATGTTTATAAAGATAGAAAGAGATAATATATTATTATTTTTTTTTTTTTACATAATTCTTTATTTTACATATATAATGATTTGATTAGTGACGTATCTCAAGTTGCGCTATATTGTGTTACGTTGTAGATACGGCTTGACGTTAACAAGTTCGAAAATTATTATTTATTTTTATGTATTAAAAATCAAATTCCACTTTCCTTTATTGCGCTTACTACTTTTTAAATTAACATTAATATTTATCTCCTCTTATAATCTATTTAAAATATTACCAACTAAATTAATTGAATCGAGATCCATACTAGCTACTTTACAGAACGTAGCGATGGCTTAATGCGCAGTAACTGCGTTATAAATACATAGTGACCACATTATGTAATCGTAAAGAAATTACATATATGCAGTTACTGCGCATTAAGCCATCGCTACGATCTTGAAGTTTCTGTAAAGTATTAGGTATTATCATTTAATATTCATATTTGTTTCTAATGGAATAAGAGGAAGATTAGTTTAACTGACATTTCTGTTTTCTTATTGTTATGGTAGTATGTAAAAAAATTAAAACTTGAAAATACACAAGTGCATGTGTACCAAGCCTATAATTATAAAGCATTTTCGGGCCATTTCCTGAATGCCATTTTCATGAATATATCTTTTCCCGAAGTCAATTGCCTGAATACTAATTTCCCGAACTGACCTTTTCTGAAACATACAATTTCCCGAATCCTTATATATTTCCCGAACTTCAATTTCCTGAAATCCTATTTCTCGAATTCCGAATCCCAAATATTCGAACCTCAATATCCTTATTTCAAATATCTCAGATCCTCTACTTATTATTTTGATTTACATTAAATAATTGAAAAAGTTAAAAAAAAAATTTATTTAAATTACAAACTAAGAAATTTGTAGAATATTTACTAATCTATCTCTAGTGTTTAAATAACTCTAAAAGAGAATACATGTATTTAATATTTGGATAAAAAAAGGAATTACTAAAAATTTTTATCTTGAATGAAAATCACACTACACAAGGTAGATTTAACCTTAAAAATGAATTATTTTTATTTTAAAATTAAATCGAATTTTTAAAAAAAAAAAAAGAAGTAATATATGCAAAATTGAACTTTTTAAAAATGTATAATTATTAAACAAAATATTAAATTATATAACCTAGCATAATATAATTTTTATGTAAAATAATGAAAAATTATTCTAATCAAAATTTATAAATCGAGAGATTACAAAATTATTGTATGCCAATTTTCTTTTCAAAAGGAGCACTTTTCAAGAAATAAGAATTATTTGCTTTTCAAGTAGTTTGAGATGTGAAAATATATGACACAATAGCGATTACTATCATAGCAACCCGAAATTTTCCCATTTATGTTATTGTTAATTGAACATATGTATTGGATCAGTTTATATACTTTATATACAGTACCTTATATAAAGAAAATTTAAACAAATAAGTTTATTATGCTTATAGTAAAATAAAATAAAAGGTTAAAATTTTAATAAGAAATATATAAAATAACTATCATTTTTATACAACATTTTCTGATAATATATATTTAAAATTCTACCATTCAAAATCTCCAAATTTATCATTTTCAAATTTTTTAATAATTCCTCTTTTCTTGTATTTTTCTATTAAGCTATTATAATTTTTTAAATTTAATTGACTAAATTGTAATAACATAGGATATCTACCTTTCCAATTATCAAAAAATGATTTAAAAGATTTTGATTCAATATTATTACAAAAATAACCAAATTTAAACTTGCACAAACCAATTGGCGATGATTTAGATAATATTTCAAAACAAGTATCCCAATTAAAAATACCACTCTTAATAATAAACAATCCAGTTAAATATTGACAATTAATTAATAACTTTTCTAATTCAAAAATAGCATAATTACTTAAATTAAGCTTAAGATATTTAAGGTTTGGACATTTAGTATAAATAGCCTGAATAATTCTTTTACAATCAATATCATTATATTTAATATCATAAATAGCTATTTCATTAAGATAACCATCTGTATTTTCAATCAAGGGTACTAATAATATAACTGGAATATAATTGACATATAAAATTTGTAAGAATGGTAAAGATAAATTTTTTAATAATTGGTCAGAATAATAATAACGATTGCTCAATTCTAAACTTTTTAAATTAGTGAAATATGATAGAATTTGCGTAGCAGGAGGTTTAGTCATCTTAAAATGTTGTATAGTATTTGCATGTTTAATCAAAGATTTTTCAAGGAATTGGCAAAATGACATATCATTTATCATATTATTAGATATAAAACTAAAATTAAGTATAGATTCTTGAGTTCTAATTAATTCAGAAATATCATAATTATTACACTCCTCATGAATAATTTCCAATTCTTTAATTGATTTACACATCGTTTTTAATCCATTCAATAAATAATAATCTATATTCGCATAACAACTAAGGAATTCGATATTTGAGAAACAATGCTCAGCTCCAGGAATAAGGTGTATATAATGAACAAAATTTCGAGGTATATAAAGGTGTGTAAATTTTGTATTTTCATTTATAAAAAGACAAATAATTTCATTTAAAATACAATCAACTCCCAAATTTACAATTATTTTTCTAATAACATTTAAATTTAAATGTTTACAAAAACTAATATAATTAAATAATGGTCTTTTATATGAATTGGTTGGAAAATAAATGTTTTGACTCTTTAAAATATTTCTTTTTTCATCTGAAAAATGAGAAATTATAACATCCAATAAAACTTTCACCTTTTGGTAATTTAAATGTTTCCAAGGATTTTTCCATAGAGTTGGAATAATTATCTCACACCAAGTTTTATTAATTAAAAGACAAGAATAAAGAGTATTTTTGTCATTATGTAACTCTTTAAATATCAAATAAAGAATATCTCCGTTTAATTTGGACATTATTTTATTTGTATTTTTTTTTATTTTTTTTTCGGTTTTAAATGGTTATTTAAATGAATACATATAGTCACACAATATTCAAAAAAGGAAGGTAGAATGGTCTGCGCCTGCGGCTATTTGAGTAACGTAAAGTCACATGCTTTACTGCGGTTAAAGTATTTAAATGTTACAGGAACGATGACATTCATTTTTAAAAAATGGCAATGAATAATTTATTCTATTGAATAAGTATACTTAAGTAGCACACTCTATGAATATGGAATTATAAGTCATTAGATGCAAAGTGTCGAAACCAAATCATGCTTTTTCCCGTCTACAACCGCTAGACCCGCAGCTGCTGGTGGTCCGTATTGTAGGTGGGTGTTATTTTATCATTTAATGAAAAATGTAGGAGTTGTTCTAGAACAAGGATGTGTTAAACGGTGTTCAAGTTGTAATAGATTTTGGAGTGAAAGTAATTGTAGATGAATAATATACTTGTTGTTGCCGCACCTGTTATTGCTTAATAATTGTGGACGTCTTTATCTTGATAATTATAAAATAAATAATACAGGAACTGATGTGGGTACCAAAAGGTTATAGAAACTGGGTGCCAGAAGTTAAGAAAAAGTTAAATAACATTTAAATTAACATATTATTTAGACAATTGTTCGTAAATAAAAATATGTTCAGTTATTATCTTATAAAGTAATCAAGGTTTTACAATTTTCACTTGCAAAACGACTACTTTTACTTGAGACCATAATTAATAAGCTACATAATGATTAATGCCAAAATATTTATCCGCAACTTATCAAGTTATAAAATGTAAATAATCTCATCTAATTTGTTAAATTATTTATGCTGCTGCAAATTTGATACATTCACACAAACAGATGATGTTATGAAAAGGTTTAATTGCGTAAGACAGAAATTAATAAATATTGATTATGCTTCTGATTTTACAAATAAAATTCTTATTGTAATAAACAATTATTGAAGCAATGTTTAGTGTTACGGATTTTTGATTGTTAACTTTGTGTGACATAATCATTAAAATCTTCTATTTTTAGACCACTTAATAATTTTTGAATTCTTATTAATACCTTATGACATAAACAGATAATTTAATATTTGTTGCCGTGTGATGTTGTGTGATCATAATATTTATCTATGACTCATAAATTTTAAAACCGTCTTTATCTAATATCCAAATATAAATATTAAATTTACGTTAATAATACATTATTCGCAACTTAAAAAATGAAAGTGGTTTTATCTGAAGAAGAAGTAAGTAGAATTTTTTTTTTTTTTGGTAGCTTATTTTTTGCAAGTGATCTTTTAAATATTATTTTTTTTTTGTTAAATTCATATACTAATTATATAATAAATATAATAATTATTCGTATTCTTAAACACCTTTGTGAGTGTTACTTGTAATAGACAAGAACTGGTGACACTAATTTACGGTATTGTATATTCAATAAATTTTATAGAAGAAAATGTTTTTAAATCATATGGTTGAATTGAAACGTGTTGGAACACGCGATCCATTCGCAAAATTAACCAAAATATTTACATATAATGCTCGTCAACTTTGTCATTATTGGCGCAATTACCTCGATCCTGAAGGTAAGAACATATAATTTCGTCAGTTTTTTTTTTCTAATAAAAAAAAATAGAGTAAATTTAATTTACTTTATTTATAGTATGTCAACATAATTTATATGATTATGAAAAACAATATATTGATAATTGGATTTCGCTCAATAGAACAGAAGATGGTACAATTTGTTGGAAAAACCTGCGTCAAGATTTAAAAAATCAATTTGGTCTTTACCGATCTGAGAATATGTTAAAAAATCATTGGTATTCAAAACAAAGATGTAAAAAGGGAACAGATAATGACGTGATTTTGTCATCTCCTTCTAATATTACAAACATTCCTACCTCTACAAGAACTTTTACCACTTATAATTATCCTTTTACTTTTAGCCCACAAAATCGTCCATCATTGCCTACCATCTCTTATATCTTTAATAATCCTTCTGATTCTACCGTGGATCTTCCCCGACCTCTTTTTTATCAACAAAATCTTTACGTATTACCCACTTTGCAGCCGCCTTTAACACAAGAAAAGCTCAAATTGCCTAAACTTCCATCCAATGTATAATCTTCAAAATTTATTCAGTAACCGGAATAGTAAAGCCATCATTTCATCAAGAATATTGCGTTTATTTATTCGTTCCTAGTTGCCAAATCCTTTTTCATTCTCATCCATTTAAAAAAAAAAATATGCATCCAAATTTAGCTAATATCCTAAGTCTGTGAGCAAGTCGGTTGATTTTATTTATATGATATTTTATGATACTATAACTAGTTAAACTAATTATTAATTAATTTATTTATTTTAATCTATATTGATTTCATAATAAATTTAGTTGTAAATATTTTAATATAAATTCGTATCAATCTACTGTATTTATTTCAAAAAGATTGAATCATAAATCAATATTAAAAATACATGTCATTACAAGAATATCAATTAGTCTTTGAAATAGGGCACTGCCGCGGTTGATATCCAAGATTTTTAAGACCGAACTACAGATATTGCCGAAGAACGGTCATGTTGCTCTTTATTTCAGGTGAAATTACATCATGCCTTGAAGACGTAAATATGTGTCGATCTCTGATTTCCTGGGACAAATAAAATTTTATTTTCTCAAATTTATCAAACGTATTATATGTGAGCAATATTTTCATAAAAAGAAAATAAAACTAAAATATATAAGAGCATTTTTACACGTTAAATCATTGAATTGATGAAATAGATGATGTACCAATGTACTATTACTGTTCACATATACTGTATATATAAATGGTGACAAAGTGTTACAAAATGTGTTGCTAAAAATAAAGCGTTACAAAGAATGTGTTTGCGCACCAGATCCTAGCTTATAAACTACCCATGGGCATATACAGCCCACGGGTTCTGATTGGTCTAAAAGTAAAGATATTATTGTCCATAATAACGGACCATACTGAACCTCACCATCAAGGACATTATCATTCTCATATTGAGGACAATAGACCATGTTAGTCCTCATTATTATGGAGGACATTACTATCCTCACTTTGTAGGACCATGGTGGTCCTCACCATGGAGGACATTATTGTCCGCACATTATTGGAGGACCATGATGGTCCTCACCAATGGAGGACATTATTGTCCGCGCATTATTGGAGGAACATGATAGTCCTCAACATGGAGGACATTATTGTACGCACATTATTGGAGGACCATGATGATCCTCACCATGGAGGACATTATTGTCCTCGCATTATTAGAGGACCATGATGGTCCTTACCATGGAGGACATCATTGTCCTCACATTATTGGAGGATCATGATAGTTCTTACTATGAAAAACATTATTATCATTCTCACATTATTAGAGGATCATCCGATCATGATGGTCATTGAAGGACCAATTAATAGTAAAAAATGATAAATATGTAATTTGTAAATTTAAAAAAATTACATATTCAGTTGGTATAAAGTTCTAATCATACAAAATATAATAGAATACTATTTAACACTAGTAATTTTTTAGTATTATTAATTTTAAAAAACCAATTTGTATTTTCTTACTTATAAAAAATTTTTTATTTTGTATTATATTCTATTTTATAATAATAATAAAAAAATAAAAAATGCCAATAAATTTTATTATACATGATTTTATAAAAAACCAAATTGTAAAATTTTTAAATTTTTTCTAAATTAATATTTAAGTAGCTTTCCATATAAATAACAAAAGATGATTTATTTGACCAAAATGATGAAATTACATTTTGAAATTAATTTGAAATAAAAAAAAAAATTAGAAATTATTATTATTACAAAAAACATATTTTTTCCTCCAACACTTCATTTTAACTAAATGTTGTTATTACAAATTTCTTGCAGGACATCTATAAATTAAAAAGGATGATTAGCTTTTGCTAAGTACTCAACTTAAGAATTTCATTCCACCATCTGGTAGTGATGTGAGGCAGTATCCTTCTAAAGTATCAAGTAACATAACAAAGCAGTTCGGATCTTCTTCCTATATATTAGTGTCGATATTTTCACCGTCCGTTCCTGAAAACTGCACAATAAAAGGTATAGCTACAAGTATCTGTTTGAAAGAACTTACAAAAACACAGCTTTAGGTTATTGTGTCCTTTCACTGACATCTCTCCTGGACACACAAGAGATTTGTTATCATCCAGAAATTCTGAAAACAGAGAAGGACGTTCACAGTAAAACTGTGGCCACGAAGCGCTTCCAGTTCTCTGAATCCAAAAGTCCTCAATGAGAACAAATCAATTGCATGAGTCAAAGTTGAGGAAGACACATAACTATTCCTCATTGCGGAATAGTAGACCTCAACACTGAGAAGATCTTATTCGTATCTCAGCCAGGTCCGTCAGATAACAGAGTTATCATAGATAAACCTGCCAGCTCACAAGGTTGCCGTAACTTCCTTGATCATTGCATCCACTTGTTCACCTTCACCAGATAGCTTTACGAAAAACAGTTCAACATACCTTTGGCCAAAAGAAGACCCAATAAAGAGAAGACCTAGACAGAGAGAAGATAGACCTAAAAAAAGATGACAAAAAATAGATGACAAAACGAAAGAAAAAAGATGATGAAGTGAAAAAAAGACGATGAAACAAAAAAAAAGGATGATGAAATGAAAAAAAAAAGATGACGAAACAAAAAAAAGGGACGACAAAACAAAAAAAAAGATGACAAAATGAAAAAAAAGGATGACAAAACGAAAAAAAAAGGATGACGAATAAAAAAAAGGATGACAAACCGAAAAAAAAGGATGACGAAATGAAAAAAAGGACGACGAAATGAAAAAAAAAGGATGACGAAATAAAAAAAAAAGGATGAAAAAGAGAAGTCTGAGAAAAATAAACCCAAAAAAAGAAAGGACAAAACTTGGAAGAAAGAAAAAGACTGAAAAAAATCGGAGTCCTAAAAAAGAGAAGGCAAAACTTGAAAGAAAGAAAAGGTCTGAAAAAAAAGAGAAGACCTAATAAAAAGTATGAAGACTGAAAAAAGAGAGAAGACAAATCAAATAATACGTTTTGCACATGTATTTTTCTGAAAATAAATCATATCACGTAATTTTATTGAGAAGACCGAAAAAAAAGACCTAGAAAAAAAGAAAAGTTTGAAAAAAAGAGGTGACATAAAAAAGAGGGAGAACTTAAGTTAACAAAATGAATGACTTAACAAAATATATTACTCTAACACACCCACGCCCTAAAAAAAGACCGAAAAAAGAAAGAGAAAAAAGAAAAGTAAAAAAGTTTGAAAAAAAGAGGAAGCCTAAAAAAAGAGAAGACTAACCAATAAAGTATAAATAGTAGGGCCTTTTATACATATTTTTTGGTATACAAACACTCATGACTCATGACTCATTTGCAATGACTCATATACTTTCAGATCTCCCGTAATACATGTGAAAACGCGAAAACACGAAAAACAATCAGTTGCAAGTAATCAATGTTAAGCTCAGATAGTACGTGTAAAACACATGATTACTTTGATCACAATACTTCGAGTAAAAATTGAATGTAATTTTTCAAAGAAAATGAGTCATCAAAATCGTGATCAAGAATATCACAATTTTAATTAGTTAGTTAGAATCCCGATATTATTTTCATAGATTATTATGTAATAAACAAATTCAAACTCACAGTAAAGTTTGAACATTCTGCCATTATAAGATGAAAAAATACATTAAACATTCAAAGTTATGTCAGCTTAATTGGATAAATACATACGAATTTTTATTAATATTAATATAAATTATTAACAACGACCATTATTCATAAATATACTCTATACACTGTTTTTTTTTAATTAAATACCTAACGAGCTATTCGGAGAGTGGACTTTTGATCTTGAGTCCAAAATTTATTTTTTGCCTATATACTGTATATTCGTGCAAATGAAAATAAAGGCGTTCACCATAGCACCACAGCGTTAATCCGATAACTGATCCAAACCAAAGGGGAAAGAACAAAAATGAAAAATGAAAAAAGGCAAAAGAAAAAAAAATAAATTAAAACAGTTTTAAAAAACCGTGAAAGGAAAAAAAATTATTAAAATTATTAAAAAAAACCCCAACCTTAAAAGAGCCGGAAGGAAGGGAAAAAATTCTGAGCTTAAAGCTGAAGAGAACAAAGAAAAAATTTTGAAAAAAATCCGGTTTTTAAAAACTGGCAGCATGTATGAATACGTTTCTTTTTTGGGTCATGTGATTTGAACCGATGCAGATGACGACCATAGCGTCGCCTCCAAAAAATGGTAGCCGGATTATTTTGCCGGTTCTTTAGTGTTAGGGGTTAGGATTAGGGTTGGGATTAGGGTAAGGGGATTAGGATTAGGATTAGGGTAAGGGGATTAAGGGTTAAGAATTCGTCACATAATGTCACACCTAACGTTTCTTTAATTTTATAATTATTCTGAGGACTTAGAAAATTTTTTATACGTAAAGTACTAAATGTCACGTATTATTTATCACCTCTCAATAATATATGTAACCCGGCAAATTAGAACCGGCTACCATTTTTTGGAGGCGACGCTAGGGTGGTTCGATGCAGATGATGGAACGAAAATCAGGTTCGATAATATAAAATAAAATCAGTCTTTCTTTTCGTTGATTAATTTAATTATTCCAATACTATAAAATAGACTATCTCAAGGTGTATTTCACATAAGGAATATGCATTTCTTAAAAGATATAGATATCAAATAAAATTATTTTTATTCTTTTTGAAATAAACATATAGAATATATCTTAATTATTATATTTTGTATAACTATAACCATTATGATTCAACTTTTTGCTATGTAATCGTAAAAAATATAAACTTCTAAATACCCCATTACATCCTAATTCCGCACATTTATATGGTTTTTCATTTGTATGAATTCTTCTATGAACTTTTAAACTACTTATACTCGTATATTTCCTTTCACAACCTGGTTCATTACATTCATAAGTTTTTTCCCCAATTTTTCGCTTTGTTGAATTATTCGAACGTGTAAAGTTCTTCTCACTTTTACGTTCTTTCGAATTGTTCGAACGTTTATATTTCTTCTCGCTTTCACGTTCTGATTTATTACGTTCATAAAGTCGTTTTTTATCGATATGAATTCTTTCATGATTTGATAAATTACCAAAACTTTTAAAACTCTTTTCACATCCTAATACATAACATTTGTAAGGTTTTTCATTTTTCGAACTCGTGGATTTTGTATCACCTTTGAGAGATCTTTTTTTTCTTTCATTATTGGAATTTTTGGTTGATTCTAAATGATAATGATAATTATCATTCGTTTTATCATCTATTTTATCACTATTATTTGAGGAATAATCTGAATAATCACCACTTGAATTATTATCATCAAGACTGGAATCTTCATCACTACTAAAACTCTTTATACAAATACTATCCTTATCATTACTATCATTACTATTATCACTATTATCACTATTATCAGTATTGCTAGTATCATCATCTTCTTCACTATTATTATCCTCTTCATTATTATTAGATGATTCAGGCCAACTATTAAAGAAATAATTACTATTATTGATTTCATTCCCATCGGAAGAAAATAATTTCGTCATATTACTTCTAAGAATAGAAAAATAAAAGAAAATATTAATTTTTTGTTTTAAAAAAAAGCAAAATGCAAAATTTTTTTTAAAAAGAAAATATGTATTTATTTAATATTAATATATTTAAACTAGAATCTTACTTACGACCTTTTAGAAGAGTTAGAGAAATTGGAATAATTCAAAATATCATCTAAATTCATATGTCGTCTTTCACTATGATTATATTCTTATAATAAAATAGGATAATATTTATAAATTAATCGAATATTCCTTCAAATTTCTTATATTTTTTTTTTAAAAAAAAAGAAATTACCAGAGACAGATGATAATCTATGTTTGTTTAATTTAGTTTGATTCATTTTTATTTTTTTGACAAAAAGTCGAGAGAAAAAAAAAAAGATTCACATTAGATAATCAATTGTATACAATACACGTAAGTAACGTTTAAGTCATGTGACCGATTCATTATTGGCCAAAAACTTGATAACGAAACAAATGATGACTCATTTCTTGTATTTATTTCTTTTTTTCAATATAAAAGCATAAACAAACTCCCTGACTTATAAGCATAAACTTGATTCCAATAAATATTTCTTTTATATACAAAAACTTTATACAGTATAATAACATCTTGAAATTTACTATCGCAACTATATAAAACAATCTAATTCTGTTGAAAGTCTATAATTAAATAAGGGAAACTTTTTTTTTAAAAAAACAACAAAAAAAACAAACAATAAAAATTTAACGTTAAAAGAATTTTTGTGACTTTTACAATCCAGATACCGGAAGCCATATATAATCTAGAGCTAATCTTGATAAATTTGGTAACATTTCAGTTTTGTTTTTCCAATAATTATCCAAATCAAGTTCGTCATTTCCAAATTCTTCTTCTAGACTACAATAAACTTCCCATTCTTCTAAAATATTATTTTCTGGATTTTTAAATTCTTCAATTTCAGAGTAAGAATTAATGTTATAACAATGAGTACGAATAAAACGTGGATCAAAACATTGAACTGCATTAAACATAGGCAATGCCAGGTGATTATCAATTTGCCCTTTTAACGTATTTGAGGCTATTTGAAAAGCTTCGTGAAACATTTTAGTATATGGTTTTGGTTCAACATTATTTTCAATAAATTTGACTTTCAACTCATCACTAACAGAGTAAGTAGAACCAAGTTGTAATGTAGCTTCAAGATATGCCAAACATCTAATCACGAAAGGAGCAATAGGTTTGTTTTTGATCTTAAAATATTCATAACCATCCACAATACTAAATAATATAATGTAAAAATAAGTTTCCCATTTTTAAAATTATTTATTAAGTATAATTATAAAATATTATTAACTTACCATTTTGCATTAGATGCCACGAACATGATGAAGGTTTCAAAAATAAAAAATTTAGTTGGATCTTTGAAAACAGTCGCCAATTCCTGGATAGCTTTACTTTCGGGATTTATCATCTCTTCTTCAATGTAAAATGTACGTAATTGTGATATATGATGATCAATCCAAAAAATAAATTTAAACCATGAAATCAAATCATGGTTTAGAGGTAAAACCAAATTACCATAATATTGATTGTAATTTTGATTATAATTTGGATCAATGTTATGGAAGTTAAGAGAGTTTAAAAGATTATTCCATCTTCCTTCAAGAGCAGGACATTCAATAAAAGATGTTTCTATACTCAATACTATATAAGTTAGAAATTTGAAATTTTTATAATAGATCCATGATTCTCCTACTGATTTCAAGATTTGAACCAAACAACGATTATTTTTTAATCGAGGTAATAAAGGAGATAATACTTGAAAAACTTGTAACGTATATCTCGAATTATTAGGAATAAAAAAAACGACATTATCAAAAGAGACATTATAATAATTTAGTGTTTTCACAACTAATTCAGCAATAGGGATATTATTTGCAATATTTGGATATTCAGTACTTGCTAAATTAGTTTGTCCACCACAGACGAAAAATACATTAAACATTAATTGACCATAATAGTCTGTTGTCTCATCAACGATAATAGATATACGTTTGTTACGCAACCATTCTTGTACCCAAGAATTCTCCATGTTAAATGCAATTGATAAACATTTTCCTTGAATTTCTTGAAGCAAAGAAGAATTTGCAATAGCATCACCTATAAATTTATTTTAAAATAATTAATTAAATATAACAAAAAAAAAGAAAAAATTTCTAAGAAAAACTTATTATTATGTACCATTTGCACAATATTCTTGGAAAAAATTTTTAGGTTTATCCACTTTTTCAAAAGGTATGTCCGCTTTTTCAAAAGGTATGTTCGTTTTTTCAAAAGGTATGTCCTCTTTTTTAAAAGGTATGTCCTCTTGTTTAGGTGATTTTCTCAACATTAATTCTCGTTCATTATTTTTTCTTTTCTTTTCGACATTGTTTACATGTTTTTTACTTTTTAAATGTTTATCTAACGCGTTTTTTTTCGTATGATCTAAAGCAGTACCTTGACAAAAATCGCAAAATAATTTCTCATTATCAACATAGAAATTTTTTTCATACTCTTGATTTTCAAGTATACGTTCAGTTGCTAAGATCATTGTTAAATAAATAGTGAGTTGTCAAAGGAAAAAGTTTGTTAAAGAAAAATAAAGAAAAAAGTTTGAAGAAAAAAGTTTGTAAAGAGAGAGAAATAAAATGCTGCCATGTATTTATACGTTTTATTGTGTTGTTTCTCCATACATAATTGGCCAAAAGCTTAACTAATACTTAGTATGAGTCATAAAGTATCCAATATGATTTGGTCTAATTGACTCAAGTTTACTCATTACGTATCTATTATGAGTCATAAAATTGCGTCCATATGACTCATATTGATTATATTACAAGCCACAAATTTAGCCAAACAAAAATCAGCATGATACTATAATAGTTCTTATGAGTAATCGTCATTTACGTTGAAAAATACTTATGCGACCTGGTCAGCCATAATACAATGATCGTAGAAAATTGTAACAAATAGTCATAGAATCTCTTCCTTAATCGATTATAAATACACTACAAATTCCATTTTTTTATGCTTCCATCGTCCTAACCATCGTCCTCTCCTTCGTCTAACTCCTCTTTTTCCAATCATAATTCATACTTCATATTTACTTGGTAAAGGTTTTTTTTTTAAAAAAAAAAGTCGGCAATTAAAATCGGAATTAATTATATAATTTTCTTTGGCACCTCGAACAAAAAAAGTGAATTATCTCTAATACAGGTAAGGGAGAGATAGAGGTAAGGGTCTAGATTGCTAAGTGTATCGACGATATGGTAGAGGTTCCCTTGCGATCTTTGCGGATCAATACACTATGATAGCATACCTTATTTAGCTTTCGTTATGTAAATATTCAATAGCAACATGGGTAATGTGTTTCACTAACTCTTGGAAACTACTTTATTTTGTTGGCATAAAACGACAACAAATGTAGCAACACGTGAGACTCCTCGATCGAATTTTTTATTGGTCGATTAGCAAAGGGATCCAAAAATCCTAAATAGTGTAGTTAGCCGAAAAACGGAGCCGAATTCCTGATTGCCAATCATCCGGACCCGGTTTAATCCCAGAAAATCCCCTGGAATTCCACGACGATCTACGCCTGAGCCGGGTCCGGATCACGTTGCGGCAAATTATTTTTCGGCCATTATCTGAATTAAAGTCACAGAATCCCGATGACTGGGGGGTGAGTTTGAGATTAGTTAATTTTTAATGCAAGTGTTTCTAATTTCAGAAGATTAGTAATTTGCAAACAATTTGCATTGGTATTGGATAAATTGAGACCCGATACTGCGCGTATTTTTATAATTATTTGTTTAATTTGGAAATTTATAAAATTTATATAATTTTTTTTTTTAAAAAAAAAAACTTTGGGATATGACTATCGTCGGGATTGTTTTTTTTTTTGGTAAATGTAGGATTATTATTATCTTTTTATTTGATGTAGTGTTATTTTATTTTATGTATAATTTTTTGTAATTTTAATCATACATCATCTATTTAGTAAGGTTCGTTATGTAGTAGGAAATGATACTACAACATTACTATATGAGGTAACGGTTTTGGTATGGAGGGAGACAAAGGTTTTGTCAAACTCAAGGTGTGCTTTATAGATTTCGTATGTTCTCTATTAAAGTGTGTAACTAATTTATGTTGGAAAAATTTTTTACGTGAAATCAAGTGACTTCAACTAGGATTAAACTAATTTTACGTCAACCTATTCCTTATCCTCTCTTTTTACCAACTGCGTTGAAAATCCGTATCCATTAGGGGAGCTGAAAAGATGCCTACCGATGGTGAGGTGGTAGATGCGATTATTGGTAAACTGGTATGGCGAGTCCTAGAAATGGTCACTGAACTCAGGTCGTAACCCATGATCCAACCAAGTGTGTTAGGTGATTGGGGGGACTGTTGCCAAATGGTTCATAAAGGTCCTATAGCATCTTGGTACCCGAGGGCCCTTCGGGGTTATAATGGTAGGGGCGGGACTACCAACGGTCTACCAATTTGACGGAGCTGTGAGCACATTGCGGTTGACTCTAACCTTGTGGTAATGTGAAGATTGTGGTAGCATTCGGCAGACCACCACATTATCCCTCAAAAATGGGGAGAGGTTAGAGGGTAGATTTGGGGTCCCTGGGGCATTCTCGGGGGACGCCCTAAATCTTTGCCCGGAGGGTGAGGTCCTGCTATGCGGGATTGATAGCCACAGTACCCCAGTTTTTCGCTACTTGTAGTTGTTAACTTCTATTATGTTTTTGTCATTGGTTACTCCTCTCTTCGAAATAAAATAAAATAAACCTTATCCTCTCTTTTTCCATTATATTCTTAGTGGCTCTTTTATCATTAATGTTCTTTTCGTCCGTTTCCCTATTTTCCTCTTTTCGTGAACTCTATCGTCGGGATTGTTATTATGGTTGTCGGGATTTTATGTTAGATCGTCTTAACCATCATGTGATTCTTGAGGTTTCGTTATTATCGGAAATTTTCGGAAATTTCGTCTCAGAGTCGACCTTTTTTTAAATGTTTCTCTGTAAAAAAAACAAAATATTTAGACTTTTGATTTTTGACTTCGCCTACAACATCAGCGCCGGACTTAAGTAATTTTTTATTAAAAATATAGCGGATAATTCGATCCTTGACAGGAGGTCGCCATGATCGGCGTTATATTATTATTTTACACTTTTCAAGTCCAATTGAATAATCGATTTCATTATTTTTTTTTTAATTAAAATTAGTAACGCAAAAATAACTTTCATTATTCTTTAATGATAATTTCGGAAATTTTCATAATATTCATCATTCGTCGTTACAATTACAAATTTACAATGGACATTGTCATTTTTATTAATATTTTCATAAATAATAATTATACAAATATACCCCCTAGGTCATACATTATTACATTATGCACTCTAGCATTGGACCTTTTTTACATAGTCGGGTCAAATATTTTGCCATACTTTAAAATAAAAATAAAATAAAAAAGAAAATTCGGTAAATGCCGATTATTTTTAAATGGTAAACCACGATCAATTTTTATTATATTGTTAACCCCCTGTTTGATTATGTTACACATATTTTTGTGATCTTTGTACATCAATTTTTTTTTTTTCACGATTTCTTTAATTAAAACTAACTTTAATTTTTCTATAATTAGTTTAGTGAAATAAATTATCAATAAAAAGATTCGGAAGAATTTAACCGAAAAAAATAAAATCGGGACTCCCTGATTTCTTTTTCGGATCAACGGGTATCATTTACTTTGAGGGGTTCAGTTTTTCTTATCTCGTGAGAAATTAATATTGTTTTTTTTTTTGTGCAATAATAATAAAATCCTTTAATATATACATTAAAATAACAAATATTATTTGATTATAGACAAACTTTAAAAAAAAATAAAAATAAAAATAAAATAAACTTCCATTGTATCTAATAATTGTAAGACAATAANTTTTTTTTTTTTTTTTTTTTTTTAAGTTACATCAGATAGTTATGAGATTATAATCAAAATTAATCGACTATATGAATGTTCCAAGTTTCATGATTTCCAATGAATAGGATCATTTAATATTTAAATAAATCTTAAAATATAAAATTTATTTTCGACCAAAAACCAAAAACCAAAAAAAAGGGAAAAAAAATATATAAAAAATATATTGTATATATTATTATAAATTAATATTTTGCTTAAATTTATTAAATATACATATTTATTAATATATTATATATATATATTATATTAATATGAAGTATTATTTACGATTATTTTCAAAAAAATTGTTTCTTTTCATAATTATTTGTAATTCAATATTTAATATTGTCAATGGTACAGAATTTAAACAATATGCTGTGCCTCCAGCGGATGGTTGGGTTCCAAGTGAAATGATACTTGATCGTACTGAAATTCCAAAAAATATATTACTCGGAGTTACAATTGGAGGTAAATTAAACGCTTTTTTGATGTCGAAATTATAAAAAATTATACTAAATTATAATTAATTATAGGATGGAATCATCTCCGACATATTTTGACAATAGCAAATATCTTGGCTGATCGTGGGTACAATGTAAAGTATCAAACTTTTTCGAGAATTTGATTTTTTTTTCTTTACCCTTTTCTTTTACTCATCCCTCATCCCTCATCCTCATCCTTCGTACCTCATACCTCATACCCTCATACCCTCATGCCCCATACACTCATAATAAATAGCTCACGTTAGCGAAGAGAGGAAAATTTTTACAATCAGAACAATATCCGAAAATTAATTTTATTTCACTTGGGGAAGAAATTGATTTAAGTAAAGATCCCGAGACTATACAATTAGTTAAAGAAAAAGTTGACGTGGGAAGATTTAAAAAAGTATTTAAAAATCATTATGCCGCTTATGATAGTATATTTTTAAGACTTAAGGAAATTTCTGAGATGATCAAACCAGATTTATTTTTCTGTGATACTGTAAATAACGAACCATGTTTCGATGTAGCTTGGTTAATGAAAAAACCATTGGTCGGAATTTCAACTTCCCCATTAGGTAAGTAAGAAGTGTATTTCTTTTTAATATAATACACTATAAAATATGTATTAATATATAAGATTTAATATATATATTTTTATTTAGGATTAACACATACTCCTTATAGATCAGATCCTATATTCGGATGTAAAGTTAATATGGAAAATGAATCATTTTGGGAAAGATTTAGATGTGAATTTATTTCACCTCTTCAATTCTTATGGTCATTTAAAAGTTCTTTTGATAATTTTAATAAAGTAAGGGCTGGTTATGGTTTACCATCTTTAAAAAGTCCATTCGAACGATGGCAAAATTCCTTATTCTTGGTTGATAATTTCTTTGGTTATGAGGTAATTAAATATATTAAATATATTACAATGCGGACGGTCCTTTTAAAAATATGTATATATATTAATCATAATATAATTTTTTTATTTGATTAGACACCAGTTCCTTTACCTCCACTTTATCAGGTATTTTAATTTTTATTATTTGATCAAGACTCAATATTTTATTCTCATATTCTTAAAAGTTTTATGTATAATTTAGGAAATTGGACCGGTATTACCAGATTATTTTCCCTCGTTAACGCCAGATATTGAGAAATTTCTCAATTCACATAAACGTACAATGTTTGTGGCATTAGGATCATTCTTATTCTTATCATCAGAAAATTATGCAAAATTATTACAATCAATTATTGAAGTTATTGAAAATAATATTGTTGATGGAGTAATTTGGGCAAATATTGAAAAATATCGAGAATCATTTCCTTCTAATATAACACTTTCAGATGGTAGAACAATTTCAACTTCAAATTTATTCGATAATAAGAATTCAAATATTTTTATGACTTCTTTTGCACCTCAATTTTCTATATTAAATCATACTAATACAAAGATTTTCTTAAGTCATTCTGGTTCTGGAAGTGTTTATGAATCATTATATGCTGGTACACCTTTACTCTCTTTACCAATTACTTATGATCAACCTGGTAACGCTGAAAAATTGGAATTAGCTGGTGTAGCTTTAACATTAGATAAAACTAATTTAGAAGTAAAAGATATTTTAAATAAAATTGAAAAAATATTAAATGATGAACAAATACGAATTAATACAAAGAGACTTAAAACTTTAGCTATGATTAATAGTAAAAGAAAATATAGAGCTGCTGATTTAATAGAATTTACTTTATATTCTTCAGTATTAAAACAAAAGAATATAAATGATGAAAATTATAATATTGAAAAATGGTTATTTAAAGAATTGATTACTCCTGATACTAGAATGGGTTTAATTAGAGGAAAATATTTGGATGTTTATGCTGCCGCTTTAATAATTGTTATTAGTATTACTTTTTTAAGTATTTTTATAATTAGAAAATTAATTTATATAAAATTATTTAAAGTTAAAGAAGGAGATAAAGATAAGAAAGATTAATGATAGACTTGATTTATTTATTTATTTATTTTTGTTTATATAATCAAATGTATTATTTTATTAACTTATATTTTTATTATTAAAAAAGATTTTTTTAAAAAAATTATAAATATTACTTTTTAAAGTTCTGTAATTTCATCATAAATTATTATATCGGTAAATTAGTGTTATCACCTTTTATATCACGGAAAATTAATTTTAGATTTTGTGATCGATCATGTGATACAGATGCATGCAATTGAAAAAAAATTAGATATGTTTGATTATGTTGTGCTACTTTCAATAAGAAAGATAACATTAATATCACGCTAGAATAATGCAAATTATGCAATCGTCAAATTTTCATGAGATTATCAATAATGTATTAATTGTTACGATAAAAATAATTAATTTCGATTGTCTAAAATCAAAAATCTTTATTTATATATTATTGAACGAGATTAACCAAAAAAATCCCCATAATTCTATCCATAAATTGTTTCACTTGATAAAGCCTAATACTAAAAGAATCGAAGACGATAATCATGCAGGACTTGACGTCCCAATTTTATGGAAGAATCCACTAGACAATATTTAACATGAATTTAATTTATGACTTTTATTTAATGAATTCAAAGGAATGGCTATGCAAATCTTTTGTGATCTATTGGATCTCATTGAATAACAATTTAAATGCATTTTTTAATCTTGTAATTACTTTTTATTGGTAATAATCGTATTGTTGTATAATGTAAAATAAAATAATCCGGTTAAAGAAAATCAATCGTCAATTATCTCGTAAAGATTCATGTTATTCTGGTCACTCATTGCCTTTTCTGTGCAAAGAGGACGTATTTTTTTTATTTCAACAAGACAAAACAAATTTGACGTTGTGATATGACTTGAAGAGGACCATGAGTCGTTGTTACGTTGACCCACAGATTCTTTTTAGTTAGTGAAAGTGCCGTATTGTATGGTTAATAGGTTGTAAAGGTAAATAAGCAAAGCATGCATAGTAATCGTGGCATCATTTTATTCATTTATTTGTAAGTCGGGACGTATCCACTCCATTTAACTTGCATTACCTATTAGTGCCTACAGTGCTTTTGCTAGGGAAGACCCAAAAAAGGAAAAAATATATATATACATGTACATTCTTGAGATATATTTATCTTATATACATAACAGATAACAAATAATTAATATAGTAATTTTCCTCGCGAGATAATTGCTAGCGGTGATCATCCCTCTACCAGCATTAGGGTGAAATTTCAGACATCATTTCTAACTCTGCACGGCTCTACCCAATTCTGGTAAGAGATCATCACCACGACTACACGTGATACATTCAATTTAACTCACCCACAATTATACTTATCTAATATCGCTGTTTTGTAAATCAATTAACCAAGTATTTTTTTTTTATATATATAAATTTTATTTCAGGAATATATTAAACATCTCATTTTATTAAAAATCACCTTAGATTCCGACATTAAACAAAATTAATATATTAGTAATTTCACGTTAGCGTGTCTCAATTTTAGAAAAAAAATAATAATCTGAAAATTAACATAATATTGATCGACGATAAATAATTCTAAATATTCTAAATGGCTATAAATAGAAAACTATATTTGTTTTTTATTATAAGCCATTTTCTATAATTGACCAATTTTATTTTATCGAAAATAAAGTACAGTATATGATAAAAACGTTAATAATATGAAAAAGTTTTGGTATATAAAGTACTTTAATTTTTTATACACGTCTAGTGCTTAGCTTGCAGGTGACTTTTCTTTTATATATTAAGTAAAATCAATGGATATTGTTAATCCAGATTTTCATGTTATGCGGTCATAATTACATAATTTTCATTGGTCAAGGTTTCACCAATTCTTGAACTACTATAAATAATTTTATGGGACAAGTTTAATTAGTTAATATTTTTATCAAACTTTAAAGATAAAACGAAAATTGAATGAAATATTCCAACAAGGATATATTTGTCATCAGCCATTTCAACAAATAATAATAAATAAAGACGGATTGAATGGACACTAGAAAGAATGATATCTATTAACAGAGGATTTGATCAAATAATGCGATTCACGCTACACATCAAAGTAAATGCGGATGATCAACATATTTGCGATTTGCAAAATGTTTTTGTTGATACTGCGTAAAATGTGATACAAGAAAATCAGAAGCGATATAAGCCACAATAAACTTAACATATTAAGTAATATATTTTCTCTACGACACAAATAACAATATAAGAAGAGTAAATAAAAGAATTTATTTATCTACATGGTTATTTTTACAGAGTTCTCAATAGGTTAGACGTTAGCCAATGTTTTTCGTGTCAAACTCTTGCTGGGATTATATAGAAACGAACAATTGAGAAATTTCTTTCTAAATTTAGTAGAAATGGATTATTTGAATAGGTAAACTAATAAAGAGATAGAAACAATAGAAAGAGTTTATTTTTTTTTTTTTGCTATTATACAATGAATAAATGTAAAAAAAATTATCGAGAAAGGAAATTTTGAATTAAGAGTTACGGATGAGTAATAATATATTCTTAATTACCTCATTTATAGTATTATTATCTTCATTTATAATTTTAAATAAATTGTGTAAAGAACTCAAAAAACTTTCCACTGTAAAGTACAGTACCTGGATTATCATATATTTTTAATAATAGAGGGACATTATGCATAACTATGCATAGAGAATGGTTTATCGTAAGAATTCAAATTCGAAATTTAATAATCTTAATATAAAATCTGAGTACATAAAATTTATTTTAAGTAAACCAGTAAAAAAGTCAATATTTACAGGTGATACAGTTTAAATTATATCAAAAAACAGGTTGATCAGCAAATGTAAATACGTAATTGTACATATGACCGTATATGGTGTTTGGGGCTGAAAATTAAATTCTTTTTCTCAATAAAAAAAAAAATCTGAAATAATGAAATTTTTTTAATTTTCTTATTTCTCGTTAATTTAATCTGAATCATTTTAATTTTGAAAAAAAAATGTCAATGCGTTCCTTTATCAAAAGGATTAAGAAACTTAAAAAGCTTAAGAAGTTAATTAGAAAATCGCATGTTACACATGTTACACATGTTAAAGAAGAATTGAATGAGATATGCAAAGAATGTAAATGTATATGCAATACGAAACGGTTTCAACAAAATTTCAAGAATTGGACCAGTGGTAATAACGATGTTGATATATTTATTAAAAATACTCAATTATCATCACATGGTGAAATAACAGGTGTATTAGAATGGATACCTTATGATAGATTTTACGATATTAAACATGTTAAAGAAAACAGTTCTAGCAAACTGTACAGAGCAATTTGGATTGATGGACGTATAGACGAATGGGATAATAAAAATCAAAATTGGGAACGATCTGTCCCTTATTTAGTCGTAGCTTTGAAAAGTTTAAATAATTCAAAAAATATTACATTAGAATTCTTAAATGAGGTAATTTAATTTTTATTATTTAGTGATAATTTTGAAATTTTAAAATTCTGCTAATAATAGTATTATATTTATAGATTAAATTAAATCATGAAATTTATGGGTTAACTCAGGATCCGGAAAAAGAAATTTATAAGTTGGTTTTAAATTTTGGATATGGAATACGTAACATGTAATAATACATGATATTAGTACGTTAAGATACTTAGGTTGATACTCAATTTCGGATTACCGTTATTCAAAAAAAAAAATTTTCTTGAAAGTGTATATAGCAAATTTGATGATTGTATAGATCATTAAATCAAATTTTGAAAAGGTATAAAACAAAATATGTTTGTAACCTTGAAAAATTCATTAAAATTTATAAAATGAATATAATTTATAATTTCATTATTTAATTAGTTATATTTATCTTGTATATCAAACATTAAAATGTGTATATTATTTATATTAGGCATTTAAAATTTGTATTTTTATTTACTATAATTGTATTATTATTAAAGTACATAGAAATAATTGTAATAAAACAATTGTTATAGTAATATATGTTTGGTTGATAATTTCTTATCATTTTATTGTTAATAATTGCAAAGCCTTAATAAAATTATTATATATAACTATACTATCTTAATTATAATGTCTGAAAATATATATTACATCATTTATCTTTTAATTGGTATTAAATAATTTTTCTGCTTCTTAAATACCTATTATGCATTCTAGCTGATGAATTTATATTTAGATGTGCCATTAGAATTCCATCTTCCATGTCTTCTACTTTCTAATGATGAATATCAATCCAATCAGATTAAATTTAGTAGTATACGGTACTGTATATTAAATATTGTAAATTAAACAATAAATCTGCCAATATGATAAGTATGCAATGGTATATACATTTTTTCTCTAAAAGGTTATGATAATCATTTATCCTAACATTTAGATCTCCAGTTACTCAACTAAAATAATTATAAAATTTGTGCAATTTTCTTTTAAATGAATCTATATTAATAGAATGTATAAAATCCGTTTTGGAAAACAACTAAAGATAAATATCAATTCTATTATTTTTACTTATCAATGTCGGTTTTTTAGAATAATTCCTTATGATAATTATTTGAGTTAGAAAGAAAATTTTATGCCTGCATTTGAATATCATATTATAATCATTTCAGAAGTAGTTTATTCATCCTTTTTTATATTCTGTTAAATCTATACATTCTATTTCAGCTTACAATTGTGTCTGTAACATTGTGAAAATATCAAAGATTTGTCCAATCCATCTTCATCTTCATTATATTATCAGGTAACCCCTACAAACCCATCAGGAAACCACAACAGTAGAACAACTAAGCCACTGATTTTTTTGTACACAGACTTTTTTTATAATTTTAATTTATTACACTTTCTCATTTATTTTAATTTTAAAAAGATACTTTATTTTTGCTAGTAAATACTACTAACTGTTAAAAAATATTTGTCTTAGTTAAAAAATAATTTTTGTTTTAAAAAAAAATATATATACTA